ACACACACACACACACACACACACACACACACACACATAATCATAAGCGTCCTGCGTTTGTTTCTCTAGAGAACACTGCCTGATACAATTGATTCAAGACCAAGTATCAAGAGTATCTTCTGTTTTTCATTTTGGTGTTTTCTTTCTCCTCTTTTTAAGGATGCTTTGCTTTCTCCAGGTACGATGCGAAGTTCCTGAAGTCATCCCACAATTCGTCTGGTTCTTGGTCATTCGTAATCAACATGTCAAATCTATTCTTGAGATGGTGTCCAAATTCAAGTGGGTTTTACTCCAGGTTGTATGCTGGCGCTTGGGGATTTGTTTGAATTTTCTTCAGCTACAGCTTGGACTTGAGATGAAACCTCTCTGAATAATCAGGGTGCTTTGTTCAAAACAAACCTATCAATTAGCGCAGCTTTAAGACTATAGTACTACAAACTAGACTAGATACTGACGTTTTCTCACTAATGTCCTTTTCTGGTCCAGAATCCTATCGAAGGCATCACACGGCCTCTAGTTACCATGTATCCTTAACCTCTTCAGTTCTGTAACAATGTCTTGGTCTCTCTTTGCTTCTTATAATCTTGATACATCTGAAGAGTACTGGTCAGGAAGTTTTTAGAATGTGTGTCAGATGAGGACAAACTTCATGACTGTTGCAATTTTCATGCTGTTATTCTCCAAGTTCCTAGCAACCCCATAGGACCCTCGGGGAACTCCCTTTGGGGTTCTGAGACTGTAACTCTTTCAGGGAATAGAACACTTCATCTTTTTCTAGCGGAGCACCTGGTGGTTTCGAACTGCAGATCTCGCCACTAGCAGCCCAAAGTGTAACCTACTGTGACACCAGAGCTTCTTTTTAAAATAAAATAAAGTACAAACAAATCTGTCTTGGAAAAAGTATAGCCAGGATGCTCCTTAGAGGCAAGGAGGGGGACACGTTATCTCACGTACTTTGGACAGGTTACCAGGAAAGATCACTCCCTAGAAAAGGACTTCCTGTTTGGTAAAGTAGAGGGGCAGCAAAAACGAGGAAGGCCTTCAACAAGAGGGATGGACACAGTGGCTGCATTGACAGGCTCAAACGTAAGAAGAATTGGGAGGTGGGCGCAGGACTGGGCAGTATTTCCTTTTGTGGAACACAGGGTTGCTGTGAATCGGAACCGACTCCCCTGTCCCTAACAACACAACAACAACACCCTACTTGAAGCCATGCCACTGGCTTGTCACAGACCCCTGGGATCCCTTCTAGCGCACAGGTTTCAGCGAAACATCCAGACTAAGACGAACAAGGAAGAGCGCCTATGTTTGAAAATTATTGTTCGATGCTGTCGTGCTGGGTCCAACTCATAGGGATCCCAGGCAGGACAGAGGAAACGGCTCTGGGCCATCGTCACCATTGCCATTAAGTTGGAGGCCATTGTTGAAGCCCCTGTGTCACTCCATCTCGGGGGAGGACACGTGTACATGAGCTGGTGGAACCCTGATGGATGACGACAGGACACCGTCTGATTCGGTTGCTTGCACCTCATCAGGGGCGACCAATTGTTTGACAAGAATATCTTACTTCGTGGAGGAGAGGGACAGCTGTGGTGAGGGAGCCCCCAATGAGGTGGATTGGCACCGTGCCCGCAGTGATGGATGCTCAAGAAGCTGAAAATGGGCAACATTGATTCTGTGGTCAACAGAGTCACCATGAGTCAGTGTCCATTCTGTGGAGTGCTCTCTTGACCAGCAAGGTGCAAAGCCTTCCTCGGTGTATCCCATCTGGGGTCCACCACAGTGACAGGAGCGTGTCCTGGCGGCATTGACCTTAACCGTTTGGCCGGGTGTTTTTGTTTTTGGCTGGGCTTCTCCACTCTCAAGCTTCTGTTTTTCCCTTTCCATAATCTATTCCTTAGAAATGAGTCACTAATTCCAGGCCACACTCGAGGAGGGAGAGAGGAAGCTGGAAGGAGTATCCAAAAATGCGTGGATACATGTAAAACCCTCTGATCATGAATACGTATTACAGGGAGAGATACTTTGAAGCCCGTATTACGGGGAGAGATACTTTGAAGCTAGGCAAGCGTCTCACTTCTGCTTAAAGCTTCTCTCACCCACTTTAACATCTATTGATTGACCTTGCCCGTGGCAATGATGACTGGTGTTCATCTCCTGGCGATTTCTTGTCTCCTTTATTCTAGCTACATTGCCCCCTTCTATGTTTCTGAGCTGGGATTCTTCTGCAAGGGACATTTTATGCCATTCCATTTACTTATTTATTTGCGATTTATTTATAACACTGTGGACTCGTGGATGTTTACTTCATCCTGCAGATAGCAAAGGTCTTTTAAAATTACCTATCAGATTCTGTCATCTCTTGCTAGAAATCTTCTAAAGGCTTCCCTTTATATTTAAGACTAAGGCGCGCACACACACACACACACACACACACACACACACACACATTCACTCTACTTACAGGGAAGCCCTGGTGGTGAAGTGGCTACCTGTTGAGGCTGCTAGCCTCCAGGTCAATAGTTCAAAACCACTCGCCACTCGGAGGAAGAAGGATGAGGCGGTCTGCTCCCACCAAGGGTGACAGTCTCAGAAACCTACAAGGACAGTTGTACTTGTTCTACAGGGTCACTATGTGTCAGAATTGACTCGATGGCAGAGTTTGATTGATTGGGCCCTACTTCCCAGGGCCTTCCTGGATCCGTCCCCCCCCTCCCCCACCGCCCCAGTTCAGTCCTGTTCTAGCCCATTCTCATTCCTGCCTCCCCACACACCACCCTGCCTTTGCCCGAGCTATTTCTCCTCCTGTTCTTCACACAACAGCCTTGTTCTTCCCCCAGCAATTTCCAGCCCTCATTTGAAATGAGATAGAACCCACTGCCATCGAGCTGACTCAGCCCCATTTACCTACTTGCTTATTGTCTGTTTTATCTGTATCCCGAAGTGAGAGGAAGTCTTGCCATCCTTGCCTCTGAGGGACATTCTTGCTGTCCTTCCAGGACAGATCTGTTGGTGTTTTTCTTTGGGGTCTTCCTTTTTCGCGGTTCAACTTTCACATGCATACGAGGCACAGGGTTGGGTGGAGAATTTTGTTCACCTGTGCCCTGGAGTCACCGTGGGTTGGGGCCAACTCGAGGTCGGCTACCAACCAAAAAATGAAGCTACCATTTATTTCCAAGACTGTTGTGCAGATTAAATGAGCTAATGCACCAAAGGCCATGCACCCCCAGACATCTCACAAGTGGTATCCTTTCTTTCTGATTACAACCATCGTCTGTAAATGGACATAAAAACAATAGTGACCTGCCACCTCGACTTGTGAGGACCAAACCAGAATATGTAGACTTTACGTTGAGTAGTACTCAATATCATGCTCGTGTTGGGCTCCTAACGCCAAGACCAGCAGTTCAAATCTACCAGCCACTCTGAGGGAGAAAGGCGTGGTTTCTACTCCCGGAAAGAGTTTCAGACTGAGAAATTTACAGGGCAGTTCTACCCTAACCTAGAGCGTCGCTATGAGTCGGAAATCAACTGGATGGCAGTAAGTTTGGTTTTGGTTAAGGGAAGGGCTTGATGCTGACCTTGTTGCTATATGGCCCTCTACAACCCATCTGAAAGATGGGCTATGTCATCAAATCCCATCCTGAGCAAATCCATTGCCTCGGCGGGGCCCAGAGGCCCCGAGACGCTGGCCTGGTCTCCCGTCTCCTCTGCCTGGGCCCGGTGAGTCCAGCCCTGCTGGACCACAGACTTCCATCGCCCCGCCCACTGGTCAGGACGGCCTGGGGTCTCCATGGAAACCCACCAGCCATTGGAGGGCGTGACAACTTAGACGGACAGGGTCTCCGCCTATTGGATCAATGTCATTTGGAAGAGGAAACCATATGAGGCCCTGATTGGTACATCCTTAAGCGTAGGTGGGAACACGGAGACGCTGGACCGCCTCTTCCAATCAGGAGCCGAGACGGCTTTGACGGACAGGCGCAGCGGGAAGAGGCCCCCTGAGCGGGCTTTCACCCAACCGGCGGGTTACAGTCCTGAGGAAGGGCCAATAAAGAGGCGGCGGAGGTGGGGCGAAGGCGCCGGCTGCTCCGGAAGTGGAGGGAGGGGGTGAAAATGGCGCCCAGCTCGAAATCGGAGCGGAACAGCGGAGCCGGGAGCGGCGGCGGCGGCCCCGGGGGGAAGCGGGCCGCAGGTCGGCGGCGGGAGCACGTCCTCAAGCAGCTGGAGCGGATCAAAGTGAGGCCCGGAGTGTTGGAAGCGCGCGC